TAGAAGAAATTGAGGGTGGCGTGGTTGGTAACTGTTTCCATGTACTCATTTGAGAGAGACCTTATTTGATACTTCACGTTCTGACTTTCAAGAGTATAAGGCAGCATGGGTTCAAGGGCTGTCAAGGCATATTCACTTGAATACTCAACAATAACTTTGTTGTGATGTGAAGAATGTTTATCATCAATCTTTATCATTCTCAGTATGCGCCCATACTTCTTAAGGAAGTTAATCAAGTGTTCATCAAGGTTTTCTCCAGTAATCCCACTGATAATAACAGAGTTTGGGATTTCAACATTTTCTTTGTCGACAATGTCCATTTTTTTTCTGCCGGGCTTGGCCTATTTTAGTGTATGGGTCAAAATAATGTTTTTCCACTCCTCCTGGCTGGCTCGCCACTTCTATAGCACCTCCAAGGGTCACTATAGTACAGTGGTTCTCAAACTTTTTCTGTCATTCCCCACTTTGGACAAGGGGGAATTTTCAAGCCCCGCCTGTCCCCATCGCCCCAACACAATGCTAATGAAATATGAAACAATCTTAAAATGTTCCAATTTTATTGAAGTAACAAGTAGTATCTAAATTAGTGCTGTCAAAATGATTGCGTTATTAATGGAATCTGCTACGGCACTCTTGCTGTCTGTGTACGCCACAGGTCAGTATTGTGTGTGTGTGTGTGTGTGTGTGTGTGTGTTCTCATTTTTGTTAAGAGCCTGAAAAGTAACTTTCTAGAGCATAGACTACCTCCATCTAGTGATGTCGGTCTATTGATTTTGATGTATTGATTGAAAATTGTTCATTATTATCTTGGTTAATTAACATTTAATGTTAACTCTACTGCATTTTATAGCAGTAGGGTAAAATGCTTGTCTTTGTTCAAAAGACTGATTAACTGTAAAGACTGTCTTTTACATCAGCCTGTTTTCAGGGCCTTTTTTTGGCTACATATTTGTTATTTTTTGCTACATGCCTCCCCATCTTCTTGCCATATGTTTCTATGGCATAAATCAGTATCTGTGACCTGTTTTCATTTAAAAAAAAGAACATTGGCACAAACCTAGCCTGTATGTATTTTTTTGTATGTCATCGAGAGTATTTAAATGATTTTCAATCAGGAAAAAATTGTGCGATTAAAATGCGATTAATCGCGAGTTAACTTAGGCATTGATGCGATTAATCGCGATTAAAAAAATTTAATCGATTGACAGCACTAATCTAAATACAAACTATCTACATCAAATAACAGCAAGCTCAAAAATAAAGAAAATAAAAATGCAGCTGTGTCAAAATTTGTATCAAGCTCAAAGATTGAAAAAATTTAAGTGCCACTCTGCAATCTGTTAATAAAAGAAAAGAAGTGAAATCCATCTGGCAATACAGGTCTATTTATCCCTGCATTAGTGGCTGCAATGAGCCTGTTTTGCATTGCACAGTTTCTCAAAACGGGGTTGCAGGCTTGATACTGCCACTCTCAAGTCATGCTTTGTTTTCAGTGAAGCAGCAGCTGAAAAGCCCATCTCACAGAGATGTGATGTGGCAAAGGGAAGAAGAATGCACACAGCTCTCTGCCCGATGAGTGGATACTCCCTCTCCACTCCAAACCAGAAACATGAACATGCTGCTGTGTGAATCAAACGCCGTTATTTATTTCAGATAAAATATTTCAAATTCAGTTATTTATGATCAACCTGCGCCGTCAATCCCGGCGCATGTGCGCTTTATTTGCAGTCTGGACGCTGAGGGTAAACATGCTGTGTCTCTGACTGCAGCGCTGAGAGGGACTCCTGCGATAGCGGGGGAGAACGGCGTTGGGAGGGAGGAGGCGCCCCACGGCAGCACCTGCCGCTGGAGGACAAGAAAAGGAACGATACGTGCTTTTAAGAGTCTCCAAAAGTCGCTAGATTTGTCGCTAGTCGCTTTTTTGAAAAAGAGTCGCTGGAGGGGTCTGAAATATAGCGTATATATAAGTCGCTGAGTTGGCAACACTGGGGCGCGAAAGTTTATTCCGTTACAAATAATATGCCGACGTCACGTCAATCATTATTTTGGCACTTCAGTTCCAGGTGAAATTTTTCTCATATCTAATGTTCTTTTAATTAGACTGCATGTAGGCTAGTAATGATTACTTTGTGGGTTTGATTGGTCTAAAAAGCGGCAACATACAGCTATAAGGACAGTTTGCTCTCACAAGTTCTACATTTATAGTCACACACACACACACACCGGAACTTGGCGCGCCCCACCTGTCACGTCTCAATTCCCCACCAGTGGGTCGCGCCACACACTTTGAGAACCGCGGCTATAGTATGATAAAGTTCTGTGGACCAAGATCAGAAACCTAGACTCGACTAAGAGGAGTAGGATAAAACTTAAGATAAATAAGAGACACAGACCAGAGAGTAAAGTTTAAATGCCGGCTTGTTATTGAACATATGGACAAAAGACAATGACTTACATTTAACATTTATTTTGGAATAAATCCCTTTTTGTGTTAAACCTTCTTAGTTTAATTTTAGGATATTTAATTCCTTTTGGGTCCTATCAATATAGGTTGCAACCTTTAGCTATTTTAATCTTCAGTTCAAGGTAGTTCAAGGTATTTCTCTATTTAACTCTTTTATTAATGAGTTTAGTTCTATTTATCTCAACTCTTTTAGTTTAGTATAGGTATCATTGAATTTAGACAAAATGTTGTTTTAGCATTTGGAACCAAACAATGAATAAAGAAAATCAAACTGTTACAAAACTCAAAATATTCAGCAAAAGACTGAACAAGTCTGTATTCCACAGAATAAAGTCTCTTACTTCCGATTTTGCTTGTTTTTCTTTCTCTGAATTATCAGTCCAATGTTATCCACCTGGATCCACTAGTTTGGTGGAAGGTGAAAAGATCCTACCAGTTCAGATGTAAACCATGAAACATCCAGCAGGGGGTGCAATCCTGGCTCATGCACAGTTCACACTGTGTCCATAGGGTGGCTCGCCATCTTGAATCTTCCAATTTCCAAATCCAGTGTCTAATCAACAATCCTTCATCCCAACCTAAGTTGGCCTAACATAAACAAAATAAAATAAATAACAGAATACAAAAACTAGATGGGTCTAAATCTAAGGAAAAGCACATTTCTGCAGATTTCTGATCCTACATGCATGTTAAAACAGCACGGAAAAGAAAAAAAAAGGACAAACCATTTACTTCCAAAGACAATGCTCTAATTTGGCTTACAATTCACTAAACATTTACTTAGTATAAACATAGTTAGTTTACAGAAAAGAAAATGCATGGTTTCCACTCACCAAGTCCCGTTTAATCCAGTACACAAACCATCAATAAAGAGTCCGGTTGTTTTGCAAAACACCAGTAGCTCAAAACCGGAAAACAAAAAAATATCTTCTCTGGAGTGAAAACAAAAATACCTTCATTGGAGTGAAAACAAAAATATCTTCTTTGGAGTACCAAATTGTACTTTTCAGTTTTAGACTCAATTTCTCCACTTGCTTCTCTGCTAATTTTAATGCAGCACTTTGCGTGTGTCTCACCAACATGGGGAATTCCCGCAACAATCTGATTGGATGCAAGTTGCTGCAGAGGCTTTAGAACAAAATGCCCTTCCTAATAGAAATCTACATGGGTTTCAACCATTTAATAATGTAAATAATTATTTTGGATGTTTGTTTGTTTTGTTTTTTTTTTAATCAAATAATATACAGTAAAATGAAATAAAACTTTTTAGATATTTTTAGATATATTTTACCATATGAACTAATTTATTGACTTTTTATCTTAAGCATTTATTGTTGTTTTTATTAACACTTTGGTGGCTCTGTTAACCTCTGGGTTACAATAACATTAAACTTTTTCAGTTTGAACCATTGAAAGTGCATTGAAGTTGATGAGAAAGTTGCAATCACAAGAAGTGATAAAGACCAGGAGGACTAAGCAGAGGAAGAGGGTAGAGTTGGCTGAAGAGGCTGGTGTTGTTGCAGCTGATGCCAGGAGATGTTAACCCAGATGGAGAGTTATGCTACAAATATCTCCAGTTTCTTAAGCCAGTTTTCATACACCTGGGCCGATTTTCCAGTCATGTGCAAATTTTTTGAATTGGGCTGTCTTTCAGTCTCATCTGTCATGTTTTGGTTGTAGTTAAGGGGACCCAAATGCAGAGGCAGAGAGGCTGAGGTGAATTCTTGTAGTTTTAATGGTAACAGAAACAATAGGGGGCAAAATCCAAAAATCCAACTTAAAATGTTACACAGACCAGAACCATGGAGACATCAGGGGAAAACAAGCACAAGGAGCCAGGGAGAGACGAGGTGAGAAGACAACAGGACCAGCAACAACAAGGAACCAACCAGGAGTAACAGCAGAGGGAGAATATGTAGCTGACTGAGACAATGGCAGGGCTAACAAGCTGACAAGGAGCAGGTGTGAGGAGACAATGAGGGAGCCTAGGGGAAAGGAACACACACAAGAGGGCAACAGAGGAAAACAACAGAAAAACCTGAGAACTAATATAAATCTAGAAACTACAACAAAATAGGAATTACACCAATAAAACTAGAAAACAAGGAGCAAAGTAAAGCACAACAGAACCAAGACCATGACATCATCTGTCTGTTCGTGTTTGGCTGTGACTCCATCCTGGAGTAAAATATCAGCTGTGCTGCTGTCATCAACACCTTTGTTTATAGATGTTCCAGATCTGACTGTAACTGTGGAATAACAGTCTAGATTTTACCACAGATTAATGTTTTTGCGCTTCCAATGTAATTATATATCAAGATCCGTCCATAACAAAACAACTGACCACTGTGCTCTATGTAACAAACCAACTGTAATCCCCTCAGGCACCCTCCTCCTGCTGTCACTGCATTTCCTCCCTCATCTCTAAAGGACTATTCAGCCGTTATCCACTCTGTTTTGCTGATAAACTCTATAAATAGTGCTCTATACACTTCCAGGCATTATTTGGACAATTTACAGCATATTTGTTGAAATCCTGCTTGTGTCTAAAACTGTTTGTTTGGCATTAAAACACGGTTACTGACTCTGATATTTGCTGTTTGCTTAGCTTGGGACATGACCTCACCAGGGGCAGCTGCTCTCTGTTGACTCGCTCCTCCTATGCATATTGGATCACTTAGGGCCTGACAGTGAATACAATGATTTTCTTACAATGGAAAAATAAAATAAGTGTTTTTTTATTATAGAAATAGTAAATGCATTAAAGTTGGTTATAAAGCATTCTGCATCTTCCATCTAATTTCTGTTGTGTTTTGTTATTGGAACTTTGGCAGCTGTGGTCACCAGAAGTAGGTTTACCAAATCACCTATATATTTTACAGTAAAAATGTAAACCAGTTGATAGAACCTCCTGTATCATTTCCATCTTTAAACTGGGAACTGTTTGTCACCTTTTACATTTGTAAATGCTTATTTAACAGCTACTTGTTTTATTTAGTAGGACCATCATATTAACAAACATATTAACAAACAAGCTTTTCTTGGCTTACTGTGTTAAGAAAAGCGTTGCACATTTTTTGGTTTTTCTAAAAAATCTGATATTCATAACACAGATACTTTTAAATAAATACAGTATGATCAAAAAGTGTAATTATAACACTGGTCATAAGCAACAATTTGTTTTGTTAGATTTTTTTCCAGAATGTTATTATCATTACACTGTTGAATGTACAGAGCAACAAAATGAACTCTCTAGATTTAACCCATCCCCTTGGGGAGCAGCAAACAGGCTGCCATTGTGCGGCGCCCAGGGAGCAGTGTGGGGTTAAGGGTCTTGCTCAGGGACCCAGAGTGTTAGTCTATATGTCTGCGGCTTGAACTCAGAACCTCAGGATTCCAAGCTCTATGCCCTGACCACCAGGCCGCCAATTTTTGAAACAAAATCCTGCATTTAACTCAAAATACACATTTTATTCCCCTCCAATAAAACAGCCATGTTCTAATATTAATATTCCTCTATGTTGTATTTTCACATGTTAACTGGACCTATACAAAATAATATGTAAAATAAACTATGTTTCTTTCCGTATAAGAAGTTACAGTAGTTTTAACTCAAACATTAACACATGTATACATTTGAACTCTACTTGCTCTGTTTTTCTTTTGTATTTTTTGAGAGTGGGGGTTGTCTGTAAAAAAAGAAAAAAGGCCCATTGCAGCACTAGTATCACTGCATGAAGTTCATACTGAGAACTGAACACCGAAAATGTTTCCAGTCAGTTACTTTCTCATAAAAAGTGAGAAATGAAAACCTATAATATCATGTTCTTTTAAAATACTCAAACACTCGCTCATCACATCTCGTCTTCGATGTGATCACAAGATGACAAGCTCTACCGTCTGTCCTGAGGGACGAGTATCTGCAGTATCTGCAGACAAGCAGTGAGTGATTCTCTGACAATGTCTTTCTCAATTTATTTCAAATCAGACCAAGGCCACGTTCACGTGTAGTCCTAAATCAGAAACGTATCTAAGGTTTTTGGAACCTCAGTCAGCACCATGGCTGCTGAGAGCATGGCTTACTGTCTGTGTCGTGGCTGCAGTGAATATATTTCATCAACCGGCTGAAATGAAACAGCAAAATCTACTCTCTCTATAGACAACCGATACCTGGCCTGGGCTGAACCGCTTACACAGAGATCATGTTTTTGCTTGGATTTAAAACAATCCATAACATTTTTTCTGTCCTAATCATTTTTGTGACTCCTTTCTTTATGCTAAGCAGGCAGATGTAGACAGTTTGAGCTTCCAGGGATCCTTAGCTAAGGAGTCAACTATCACTGGCTAAATATTGAAATATATTTTGGAAAACAATCTACTTGAGTGATCAAGGTTTTATTGTTAAAAGTTCTGTTTGTTCAGGAGAAATTCCATGACTCAATGAAACTTAAGTAGAATAATCAGTTCAGGAACACTATGATACAACCAGCGGAGCTCCGAAGCTGACGGCAGCCAGGTCTATAACCAGGCTATGATGGCGATTTTTTGTTGTATTTGGCAAAGTTTGGCAAAGTCCCTACTCAAGTTCTAATGACTTCAGACTCGACATCAGACTCGACATCAGACTCTCCTCCTGTAGATTCGACCGATGTAGTAAAATGCTAACCAACACGCTTCACACATGGCTATGCCGAGAGAGGGCCGCTGCAGATGGGCTGTGGTTAGACCTGGCTGCCGTCAGCTTCGGAGCTCCGCTGGTGCCGCGGTCCTCTCAAGTTTGTCACATTTTCTTTTAAATTACGCATTAAATCTGTGAATGGGCCATATGGTGATGCTTAAAAGTATAAGGTTCTCGCCCCAAATGATCTTAAAACGTACTTTTATTGAACAACAGCAACAGAAAAGAGAACATTTAACTTAGTACTCTGAGCTCTGTGAGTTAAGAAGATGGACAGCCAAGCCAACCAATGAGCAGAAGTTGACTCTCTAGGACACACCCCCTCCTCATTTGCATAATGAGATAGAAATGCATAGAGAAATGTAAAAAGGGCATACAGAAATGTAAAAAGGGCAGAGAGAAATAAACAGCGGCGAAGAAATAACTAAGGTAAAGAAATACAAAGGAAGAATAAAACAGACAGTACTTTACTTTTTTGTACTTTACTTTTTTAGAATGTTTTTAGAGCATAAACAGTAGTGTATAGGATTTCCTGAAAGCGCACACATGCGCGATCACGACGCTACGGAAGCCGGCAGACCAAACCAGATGAAAGTGCGCATTCAGCGTCTGCTCTGCCAATAATGCAAGCGTAGAAGAAGAAATGTGCTGTTTACCTGTGCAAAGGAAGAAACAACGAAAGAAAAATGTCTGAGGACTTCAGTGTTGAGGAAGAGCATGAGTTCTTTGCCGAGCTGAATGCGCTGGTTTGGTCTGCCGGCTTCCGTAGCGTCGGGATCGCGCATGTGCGCGCTTTCAGGAAATCCTATACACTACTGTTTATGCTCTAAAAACATTCTAAATGACTTTGTTTCGAGTAAATTCTGGATGCTACCCACTCAGGAAACTTGGAATACATTGGACGAGCAGTATGGAGGAATATTGACACGTTTTTTGTGGACTTTTATGGACCTTTCTGTCTCGGTCACCATAGACCTCCATTATTTGAATGTCAGCAGACAGCAAGAAGCCTCCCAGATCTCCAGATGCATTTGAGATATCAAAAAAGTACTCCAGAGTGTTGTTCAGCATGGGGGCGAGTAGAAAATGAAGGCTAATCATGTTTTGGGTGTACTATTCCTTTAATTTGAGTAGGTAAATAAGATGAATGGCCAATGGAAAAGATTTTTTACTCTTAAAATAAGATAAAAAGATATTATCCATCTTATATATATGTAAATTGTCATGTTCCATTGTTAATTGTCTCACTTAAGTCCTCAATTCAAGAAAAAATGCCCTTATTTTAAGGGGAAAAAAAACGTATTTAGATAAAACTTTTTGGCTGTCTAATCATACATGTTGATAGAAATCCCCTTAGATCATTATGCTTGTGAAATAGTTAAGGCTTAGAATGCTACACAACATAGTATATCTTTCTAAATGAGTAATTTATTATCTACTCCAAGGAGGTTATATTTTCATCTGTATCAGTTTGTCTGTGTGTTTTAAAGATAACTTATGCTACGTTCAGACCGGACGCTGCAAAAGCAGCAAAATCGCGTCTGCTGCTTCATTTTTGCTGCTTGTACCAGTTAGTTCTGACGTGCGGCTGAAGCAGCTTTGCTGCTCTGGCTGCGCGGTGCAAAAGTGTGTCTGACGCGCGTTGGGCGGAGCTTCACTATCCTTTCTCTGCCTTGCAGCTATATTTGCTGTGAT